ACAAGCAAGTTGGCTGGTTTCTTTAGTAACTGGAAATATGAGGATACGTAGATTAGAAATTTGCCTAGTTGATGCGTGATTAAGTATCATATCAAGCAAAGTGATAATATTACCTTCATCGCAAGAATTTCCTAGGTAGCCTTGATAGCACAAGCGAATACTCACGTTGTCGTTGTCAATGCATAGGCCATGGAAACACTTCATGTTTGCACATGATTGATCTAGCATTTTCAATAGTTTTAGGAATATCAAACTATGCTATTAAACTTTCAGCGACATTACATACAGTTTAACAAGTGCAATAATAGAAATCCTAACCCTACCCCTATGACTGCCTTGATAGCACAAGCAAATACTCACGTTGTCGTTATCGATGCAAAGGCCACGAAAACATTTTATATTTGCACATGATGATTGATCTAGCATATTTAATAGTTTTAGGAATATCAAACTACAAATATTAAACTTTCAGCGACTTTACGTACAGTTTAATAAGTGCGAGAATAGAAATCCTAACCCTTCCCCCATGACTTGTACTAAAGCCTTTACGTTTAATGAAAATACGAAATTAAGGTGAAATATTTTGACAAAGGTAAGAGATTGCTTAGCTAACAATTCACGATATTTAAATTTTACCATTATATAAGTGCATAAATTTGACTGAAACGGAATAATTTGAACAATTTATTACATCAGTGGAAGCCTAGCTTACATATTAATTATTACTCCAGTAACTTCATTGAATATATGCCGTCACTAAAACCAAGATTTGAAATTGACTACTGCCATACTACTTTACAATAGCTAATAACTAAAGAACATCGAAAATAGTGAACGCATGATTTAGGCAAAGTACAGTAATACACATCTAGTCTACATTAGAGCTCAATTTACGACAATATTGAGAATTTAGACCAACCGTTAAAAATAAAATAAAAGCTATCATCATTGACATCCGAGAGGTTTTAAAAAATAGACCTTCCATCATTTCAGCCTGTAAAGTTTAAACTTGAATCGTAATCAAATGAGAATAACTAGTAGCAAGATAAATTTTCAAGTGAGCTCGACCGCATGCAGACGATTACTGTGATGATTCGAAATTACTGTAGATCTTAAAGTGTTAATGATAACGTAAGTTTTTGCAAACTATAATTAGAATTGCAAACTGAACTAATTTTATTCCATCCTTATATAGCATGTCACTACCTATCTTGGTCATAAGTATTCTGAACTGACTACAGATCGTAAAAGTTCCGAATGTTTATTTAGGCTGCGATGAAGTCCATATTAAGAGGTCTACATGTAGGTTAAAATATTATAGACAAAAATTGCCCCTCATTTCTAATATGCGAGATTAAGGTCATGGCTATCAACTGATGTTACCAGTACATTTAGTCTACCAAATAGACTTGTATAGTGCTACTGCTTTTACTGACATTTTGAAAGTGCTGAGACTAATTCACTACCTATAATACACAATTGCTATGTTAGCATCATTAGGAAGAACCTTTATGGTTAGGACTGTCAGACTTACATTACTACTTATACTAATCCTACGCACCCTCCCTTTAAACGAGCAGCGCGGATATTTATACTGCTGTTAGATGACTTTGATTATTGGTTCATTTCAATAGATCAGTATAAGATTCTTATAGTACTTTTTACCTCAAGATTTCTTCATGTAAAACGAATAGCTCTATGGTAGTAATTTCCGCAGAATACTGATTTTTAAAATAGTATTCTTTATATCGCTAAGGGTGGCCACTGGGCCTTTAAATTTAGATTTGATGTAATACTCTGACGAAAATTGAATAAGCATAGAATCTTTATAGAGCTTTCTACACAGCCATTTTGATTGGTACATTTTCTTATAACGGTTGTTATCGACAGAGCAAGCTTTATTTGCATACTCAAGCAATCCTTAGACACATTATCATGATCGGTAAACTGTAGATTTGACCACAGTACTAAGGACATTGTACCGCACTGTAGATATCTTACAGTACCTGCTAATCTTAACTTGGTATGTCCATCACCGTACATTAGTTATCATAATGTGCTTTGGATTATTAACTAATCTTAATATAGCATAGTACATTACTATTACCGGGATATATACTTAACTCTTTTAGTATTCCTGGTGTAATAACTATCTGATGAATAGCACCCACTAGGATCGACCCTGAAATGGGAATGGAGATAATAACGCCGATAGCAATTCCATAAGATGGAGCAGGTTTTTGAAGATAAAGTATTTGAGCTCTAGTTGCTATACTGGCTAAAAATAAGAACTAAAGACGAAATAAGAGTAAAATTTGAGTCTGCAGCCATCTCTGTAAATTGGTCTTAATAACAAGATTTAATTCCACTTTATAGGTAGATCTATAAATCACTAAAGAGACTATAATCCTTCGCTATAGTTAATAATTAATTATTATTACACTAATTGTAGTGTCAATTGTTATGCTGGCATACAATTGATCTTAATTCAAATTTCAGCGCAATCGTGCTTTGCCAAGGATTCAAGGTATCAAATAAATTAGCAGGTGCCAAAAATGAAGAAAGTATCAAATTCTAGCATACCCGCATTTTGTGTAACAGAAATGAGATCCAAGATCCCATTCGGTTTAACTATTATATTTTACTTGACTTGACAGGAAAAGGGATTTGATAAAAATGTTTATTAATAAGCCTTTTAAAAATGTGTAAAAGGCCTACTCTTTTGGAAAGGAGAAGAGTCGATAGGCTTTGAGCTAGCTGTGTGTGGTTGCGTAATCGGAAGTTCTACTACTGTGATATTCAACAGTAAAATTCTAAGTAATAGACTAGTTCTAACCGCTTCATCGAGGACTTACTTCATTGGGTAACTAGATATCGTAAGGATAAAGGTAGGACTTATTGCAAGACCTTATATTAATTTAATCTCAATTATAATAGGCTAAAGCATGGGCACTTTCTCATTTCTAAGCTAATATATCAATATGGACTGCTATTAGCGTTTTCTTGTAACAACGATAGGTTAACAATATATCAGTGTTTTAAAATCTAATAACTTTATTTCACAAGCGAGGTAATCATAGACTGCATACTGTTTCCTGTATCTACACTTCTATAGCTTTATCGCTATCCGTATCCTATACGGCATACAGTTTCAAAGATAGAAATAGGTCCTATTTCCAAATTTTATGTATAGTAGCAATAATTTAAAGAAGGTAATGAGTTTTTTAGAGGCTATAGATATTGCATAATAATAAAGAGAGATGTTCTAAACTTAGCACGTATTTAGTATTATCTCATTGACACTTCGTAACAGAAACTGACTTCAACAGCAATCTTGAATATTGCCATTATGACTGCAAGCGGTCACCATTTCCGAATATTAAATTATAATCAATATGCCATTTAAGCAAGGAGGGTAATTAAAAAATAGGAATATGCTACTTATAAGTCCATACTATCAATCATTCAACACCTAGAATACAAATAGTAAAATTTAAATTGACCAGATTGGTAAACTAAAACGTTTATAATATTACAGGGTAACTACGTGGAAGCAAAGTAATGCAGTAAATGAGACTGATGATCAAGCAGAAAAAATATCAAAATGTCAATCCTCTAGCGCAGGTGAAATAAATCAAATGATAAAGTATTGCAATATTTCAAACGTTGACATGACTAATGTCATTCGTAGTCACTTTAAAAAATATAAGTGGACGTTGGACGATCATTTAATTCTACTTTGGTCATTGATTGATCTCTGCTCTTCTTATTTTGGAATTGCAGGTCCAAAAATCCTTGACGAGGAGAGAAAGATTTCACCAATCGCTAAGGAATAAGAAAAGATAAACTAATCAATCGATATAGACGACCAATAAATCTCAGCTAGTAATATCCTTGGAGGTGTAAACTATACAGCAATCAGCTGTATACAGAATTCGTTAGCGGAAAGATGATTGAGCTATCCTATTTTCCCCTATTTCACAACGCCAGCTTTAATTGAATTAATTATTTCTTAGTTACCTGTTTGAATGTTCCCGGTGTGATTACAATCTGATGGATCGCACCGACTAAAATCCATATTAAAACGAGACTGGAGATCAGAGCGCCGATACCAATTCCGTATGCTGGAACATCCTTAGATAGGTAATGCATTTGACCTCTCGTTGCCAAGCTAGCTATAAATAAGAACTTGAGACGAAATAAAAGCAAAATTTAGCTGACTATATTGGCAGAATACTATACATACTTGCAAAGACAAAATTTAATTTTAGCTTATAATTATTTTCGTCAATAACCAATTAGGCTTTAATTAATTATTAACATCATTTATCTGATTTTATGGGATGCAGTGCAACATGAATTGTCATCTTGACAGGTAATGATATATGCCTGGCCAATATGGAATATATTTTAATTATTAACATGGCCAATGGTGTACGGTAACTATTATCAAATTTGCCTCATAATAGGTTTGAAAAATAAATATCCAACTGGGCTTAATAAATATAATGATATATCAGGCTTGATTTGAGCGTTCACGAATTACAATAATCCAAATTTATCTGCTGCACCACAAATTTATATCGGCATTCAATTATTTTGGATACGATCTCTTTAAATATATTTTCAATTCAAAATGGAACTGTTCATTCCTATTAGTTCATCGGCATCAGCTCACCATATTGCATCAATAAAAATTGAACGGGAATTATGGTATTTGATGATAATTATTCAATTTTGTGAGATAGCAAGTTAATATTCTATATCAATTTTATTAGAACTAATCGTCCTCATCAGTTCATTGACATTATATCACCATATGGGATCAACAAAATTTAAATGGAAATTAGTTGATGATGATCAGGTTTCTCAGGATAGCAAGTCAATATTCGATGTCAATTTTATTAGAAACTGTTATTGGAATATCGAATCACGCTGAATATCGCTGATGATACAGAACTAGTTATCGGATAGGGTAGGATTGATTTAAATTTAAATACTCAAATAGAACTTAAAACAACCATAAAAATACTTACAGTACAACCGAGTGGGCAAATAAACTTCCAGGTTATGATCCAGTAGTAATTAGGCCTAATTCCAGTCATATCTTCTACATTATCCGCTAATCGATCAGCACCTGCAATATAGTCAAGAATGAATTGTAGCTCTGCATATTTAAAACCCAAGGAAGTTTTCATCTTTTTAACTCTATGTCACGATCCAATGAACTTAACATTGCTTGACTACTGTAGAATTGTAGATGACTACAGCAATAGAATAGATAAAAGTACTTTATGATATTACTAAACACGATACAAACTAAAAGAAGTCTTTGAAAGTTACCGTAACATAGCGAAACAGCGAGTACTTCAAATAATGTTAACCCAAGTACTATCGGCCCAGAATTATTAGTATCAACGACGATAAGCCAAAATAAGCCTGCCTTCAAATAAAAATAGATCGAAACGACAGAGTAAATCTTGGCGAACTAATTTATTAAAACGAATGACTGAAATGAGGACTATGTCGGAATCAGAATTGAAACTAATATAAACTTTATCTTCTTGATTAAAATAAAATAAATAAATTATAAATTAACTTACTCTTGTAGCAAAAAGAAGGCCAACAAGATAAAGAACGATTGCAATCCCTGCCATAACGAACGGTTTCTTATTATCTAGTTTACCCCGGGATAATCGTACGACGGATGTGATCATGACTTCGACCATACCGTACTAATAAATCAAATAATAGATTAAAAACCAGTTATTTGTGATCATTTTAATCAATATATCCAGTAGAGGTAATTATATCAAAGATGACTTACAATGCTATCCATACCAAGCAAAAGTAACATGAAGAAGAAGGCAATAGCCCAAAAATGAGGGCTAGGCAATTGAGCAATAGCTTCTGGATAAGCAATAAATGCCAAGACAATTTCTGTTATAGAAAAAAGTTACAGATCGTTATGACTTGAGGTTTTCATATTCAGCATTAATGAATTTAGAAGAACTTTGTATCATGTTAAAAGTTTTAAATATAGGAATTGTAGTAGAATTTTCATACTCCATATCGATAGAACGAAGGAAAATTTCAATTTTTATGTATATAGAACTGTGTATATTATATTGAATCGATCAGGTAGTGGATGGTATAGTTTCATACCTTCTTGAACCAGGGATTTAATTGGAGTTCCTGTAATTTTCGACATATATCCAAGTACAGCGAAACATATAATACCTGATAATATACTTGTACAACTTGTAATACAGCAGATATAAACGGCATCTCTAGAAGATAACATTAAAGAAATTAGTCCAATTTAATTAAAACATTTACCTTAATATCATTTCAATCAATCATATGCGTCAATAACAAGGTTTTAATGATATTCATATATCATGGTTGAAATGGCACAATTTATCTTGGAGGTATTTGTTGCTTCTAGCAAAGCTTTAAATTATTTGTCAACTGATGCCTATTTCGTGTAAAATAGTATCATTTAGTTCTTAAGGTATTTACTACTTCTAGTAAAGTATTATCTGTCAACTAATGTAGAAAAAATTTTTAATACTCGAATATCAAAGAATTTAAAGGAGATTCTTTTTTGGCTCAATAATGTGATTCGAAATTTTACAGTATTGTTACCCATTATTGAATAAGCTCTAATTCATAATTTAAAAAATAGTTCTGGGAATTGTCGAGAATGACCACTAACAATTGCTACTAACTGATTGTTTACGCATAATATTATATGATGCTTGATATTCATTAAAATAATATTTAAATCATCGGCAATACCTGTGGACTTTATTATCACGACGATTGTAACTTCCTAAGGTGATAATAGCACCATAACCTATACCAATCGCAGATAAGACCTGCCCTAATGCGTCTACCCATGGCTAGTGTGAGCATCCATTTCAGAAAAGTAATAAAATCCAATGGTTAATAATTGGAATGGGCTATTTTACTGCTATCCTTTAAATTCTTACAGAAGTTACTACTACCGGTGTTTATTGACATAAAGAATGGCTTATATAATTTTATACTGACCAATAATGTCCCTAACTTCTTCCATTCGGGAACGAATAACTGTTTTATACCAACATCGGCACCTGGCAATGTTAAGGCTCGAACGAGCAATGCAATTAACATAACATAGGGCACTGTTGCACTGAAGTAGACAACCTGAAATATATCATTATAGCCATCAATTTACTTCATCATCTACAGATCCGAATAATACTGCTCATCTCTGTCATCTTCAATCAATTCTAAAAGTGAGCTATGATGCCGTTCAATTTTCATTATTCCATTTACTGAGTGTTATTATGATTGTCACGAAACAAGTTATCATGACGATTTATTAAATTAGTATAGTTGAGTTTTAACTATAATAACCTCTGTTTCATTTTGCATTCAAATTCATTTCTATTTTAATTACTGTTTTCACATGTTATGATAGATTTTTCGTGTCTAATGTAAAGCGATTCTAATAATTAATGTACTTTCATGACAACGATGCATCCTCGAAAGTATCTTATTCCTGCCAGACGCTGATAACTAGTACTTCATATTCCGCTTAATTAATAAACTCCGAACATACCCTATTAGCGGAATGCCACTATTTATCTATTGTTTTCTGGCTAGATAAGAATGCCTTATTTATTGTATTTTGATGGTTCTATAGATATGCGATGAAGCAACTATTGCTAGTGTTGTATTCAGTATGAAGTTTATAATGTATTTTTCTCGTTTTTGGTTGCTTGATGAAGTTGCTAAAACATAATATACTAGCGTTATGAAAGAGCTATTTTGTGAATCTTTCTAAACAATTCGTGCCGTATTTAAAACTGCTATTTTTACTCTAAGTGTTACATAATCACGATTTTTGATAATGATACTAAGCGGATTGTTAAATGATAATCAGCTCTACCTTTCCTGAAGATTCAATTCCCATGCACATAGCAAAGTAAGTGATAACCCAGCCAATTAACAGCGTTATTGCCAGATGTGGAACAATATCGTAATGAAGTAAGCCGCTTACATCAATATTGAATGCCCTATAGCTAAGAAATACAAATAAAAGATCAAACTAGGTTACCAAATTGAATTATTGTTGGGTTGAAGAGTTCGACCTTATTATTGGTATTATATGAAAACTAACTGATGTTGATTATACTTTCCGTTGCCAAATCTTGAATTATTAATTTTACAATGTTAGTCATATTATGTAGAAATACTTCAAAAATGGCAACATTAAGTAAAATAAAAAACTAGAATCATTCTTATAGTTTCATATTGTAAAAGGGTTAAAGAGAATAACGAACTATAGGTCATAAATCAAAAGCCTGTAGATAAATCTTCTTAATCAATAAATAAGTTAGTTACTTTAAAAATTCAATGGAAGCTGGAACGCCACCAGCAATTGTGTTATTGGTGCCTGCTACATAGCAGAGAGCAGTGTTCCAAGTGTTATTGCATTCTGCCCATGGAAGTATAGGAAAGAAGCTGCTATAAAAGTAGTAAAGCGACCAGGCAATAACGATATGGAAATAGATTACAATAACAATACAAGAGGCAATCATTGCAAAACCAAGACCTGTGAACATACGGTAAAAATGAGCAAATTAATAATTACAGAGGATTAATTTCATGCATTTTTTTGTAATATCGAGAAATACGTTATACAATTTTGATATAAATGTAGAACTAAAAATTTTGTTCCATTGGTGATAGTTCGAGTTACATAAGAAGTTCTATTGCAAATCAGGGTAGCAATACAGAATTTCATTTATAATAAATAAAAACTAGATAGGTGACTAACAAACCAACCCTTAACATTCTTGAGTCAAATGCATATAATATATTATGAAATGATCTAATTATGTAAATGTATCCAGTCTAACTTGAGCTTATAATTCTAGTTTACTAGATTAAAGTACACAGTACAATAATCTTAACTTCCCGATTTGGATATGAATCGTAGATTAATGTAAGAGCTCATGCTTTCAGTGTTTATCATTTCTGATTTAGAGTGCAATATCTTTACCTATAATTTTACAGGATTATCAATTATTACTTAGGAATTTACAAATCGTTTGCTAATTTATAATAGATGGATAATAGGGACGAAATTGATCATACCTTTAAACATAGGACATATATTCTTCCATAGTGTACCAGGACCCATTCTTGAATACTGTCCTAAGGCAAGCTCCATATGAAGTGTTGGAATACCAATAAGTATGACAGATACAAAGTATGGGATTATAAATGCGCCTAAAGACAGAATAAATCGAAAGGATATTTAAATTATAATAGTCATAGGAAAAAACATTTCAAATAATCTGGTTGAGTTAATCTGCACTAGCAATGACAGAGAACAATTTTTGTATCTATTGAAACGTTAGTAATTTTATCTATCATGGCTAACAGACTTCTCTAAGATCCTCCTCGTGAGTTGCAGCGAATAATTCTAATTCAGTTGTGAACAGTATTCAAATTTAATAATTATTACCGTTGATTAATAGTTTAAAGTCAAGCTGATTCAAATCTTATGCTATCGTTTAGATTTAGGATCAATTTATAAGTTGAAACACCTTAAATCTATCCTCCATATAAGTAATTTTACGAATAACTATGCAAGCAATTATTTAAAATAGTTTATTTCCATTTCGAATGAAAATATTGCAATTTGATAAGGATTAGGAGTAAAGTCGTCATAAATTTCAAGTTTCGCATATTTGAATATTCACCATATCTTAAAGTTCATCTAATGCTATCATTCTAAAATTGTTATTAACTTTATGTTAGGGTTACGCCAATTTGATGAAAATCGGGCGTAAAACTTGTCATGAATTTTAACATCCATCTAATGCTTTCAATGTTAAATTTATTATTAATTCACTTAAATTCGAGTAAAATACTTTTATGTGAATCTAATTGATTCATCAAAACATGCATACTTTAATTTTACAAATATCCAAGAGATATATCTAACATATGTTCACGAATTGAATAATTTTTTCAATGCATTCATTCTGAAATGGATATCAACTCATCAATTATTATGTAAATTATATAAGGTAATCTATGATATCCCTAACTAAATTATAATCGATTCATTTCGTTGACTTCTTAGAGATTTTTAGCATGTATGAACATTTAAAAGTTGTTAAAAAATTCTTTCAATAATCTAGAAATTTTCCTCAGATCACCCATAACTAATGTTTATCTTATTCGGAAAATCCAATATTTTTATAAATTTTGACGGTTTATCCTGTAAGGAGGTGTACACTTAGTATGGAAATCATTTCTTAATACTTTCCTTAAGAAACGGCTAAAATTTAAATTGTTTAATGTTATTTAGATTATTGTTGATGAGCTACTCTATATTTAGAAACTAATCACATTAATTTGATACGTACCTCCCTACTATAACTATAACAGTTAAATTGACCAATCTATTTGGTCAATTTGTTTAGATTAGCTTTAATGCCGCACCTAATAAATAATGTTTTACTTTACCTAAGTAATTGATATTGCAACCAGTAAATTCTCCGAAGAAGCATTTTATAACAAAAGAATTTATCAGAGTTCCCATAGATAATAACAATGAATTACAGCAAGACTTCTATTTAAAAGAGTCTGGGTCATGCCTTACTCTTAAATTAAACCCGAAGGGATAATTCAGCAATTGTATTCATATCGTAGGAATGAATACTTTATTGATCTAGCGGCTACTACAATCAAATATTTCCCTGTAGATGTTAGAATTACAAGTATATCAACATGGTACATAGTCTACGTAAATTAATATATTGTAAGTGCACAGATTTCCTACATTTTACGGTGTTGGTTATTAATTAATATAAGAGTATCTATATCTTAGGCAGATCGATTTTCACGGTAGAATTTGTTAAATATCTACTGGAGGCAAGTTTTTTCATTTATGAATTGAATTATGATTGCATATAACCTTGTTAATGCCGACAAATAGAACCAAAATCATTCTAAAACTACTATACAGATAGAATATCGTGATTCATTCTAACGATATAATATTAATTTTTAATAAAATCCGTCTTGTCTTTGTAATTGATTTCGTTGGAACTAAATTCCTTCAGACTACATAGACTAGTTGGTTAGATTATTACAGCGCTTGCATAAACTTATTGCGATGATGAACTTCTTAGAATTCTGTGCGCAAATGTCATGAATAAGACAGGAGGGAGGATGTTTAATAATTTCTAACAGTGAAGATAGTGGCAATAATAAACGATCGCATTTCACTATTGATAGAAGACAGAATTACAATGAAGAATTATCATTACAATAATACTCTTCCACTATATTTTTCAAAACTTGTTTGTTTTTTGTTCGCTTGCTTGCCTTCATAAGAAACAGCATGGGTCGACGTTATTATATCGAATAGCAACCCTGTGCTAGGTACCACTGCTCTCCCGACTAGTCTAAACTATAAACTAGCAATTTCGCTTCTATTTCTTGAAATCATTCTAGAACTATTAGCGTATATAAACCTGATCAAGATTATTATAATTATCTTTATAACTAGCAGTGTTCTTGTTGTCTATCCAATTCACGCAATATGACGGTGTAAATTGTTTGATTCTTCTATTAATATGAACTTTTTAATATTGCTAAAATCAAAGAAGTCTATTCAAGTGATTTAATTTATTATAAGAAGCAAGTCTTTCATTTTGTCTTGTCTTCACTATGCTGTATTTTTTCTATCCTGGTCCTTGGAATCCAGAATCAGCTCTAGGACTGAGCTTAATCTAATTTATAAGCGTATTCTTATAATACTATCTAAACGATCACTGATTAATTTAAGCTTTTACTGTTCTGAAAGTTCTCGAATTTTTGATTTGGCAGTTTTCTTATTTATTCCAATCAATATCCATTGCATAAAATTGAATCGATCAGGACTAGATCAAATTGACAGTCAACAGAACATACGTCTATAAACGTCAATTGATCATCAATGGAACAATCTATTCAAATCATTCTGCGATAAAAAGTATCCACACTATTACTGAACCTTACTTTAACATTTGAATCTTTCATAGAACACGGAAGAATGATTTTGCACTTAAATAGCGTAACCCATCCAGGCACCCCTCTAAGACCTGCACTATACTATCGAATTGATGCTTAATAATGCGGTCGTCAGTAGATATATTGTTCTTCATCTTTTGTTAATCTAAGCAAGACTTCTAACTTAAATTGTTTATAAAAATAAATTATGGAAAAAATTTTGAACTTTGATCTAGTGGTAATTAAATTAATAGGATAAAAATGTAGTTCTTTATTATTGGATGTAATGTAAGTCTCTAAGTATGTTATTTTGTTTGATTAAGAAGAGTGAGACAGGATAGCATTATTGGTGTCCCATCTCATTGCTGTTTTTATCCAAGAATAAATATGACTACGTAAGAGAAATTATCCGATATAGCAAGAATAGGAAAAGGTGTTTCAATTAGGGAAATGATTAGAATATAATCAAATATCAGGTAGTGGTAATAGACATATTTTAGGTATAGGTTTCCTTAAATTAAAATTACGATAACGGGAAAACTTAAAATATTAATGGACGGTCTAGCTACACGTTCTCGCCGGCGCACTAAATTTCATAGATATCTAATGGTTGAAAATCTTTACCTTCAAAAGATATTAGATTTAAAGCTTTGATTAAAATACGCGTGATATAGCCCGATTGATCCCAGTCAAAAAAGTCAATGCGCTACTAATGCATTAGTAATTAACTCTAATTAATAAAGTACAAATGAAGAATAATTCTTTCAATAGGCTGCCTACGTCGCCTTTTAACTAAGCCTAGTCTGGATATACTATTGTGAAATTGTCTAGTTACGGATATAGGTGCCTCTATATGAATACAACATATATCTGGTTCGCTTGGAATGGATAAAGATTGATTAATTATCATGACTATGTATCGATAGATTATTTCTCCTAGTAAGGGCGAACCACTGGTTGTTACTGAACGTAGTCGATCGTAGCTGCGAGAAGAAATAACAGATAGATCCTTAGAAATAAGCATGCCTATGCTACTGACTTCAGAAGTGAAACTAAGGCATATGTTCTCTTCATTTTCTCGCCAAATAAATAGAAATAAAAAGATTAAAAATTCATAAACCGAAGGAGAAAATGAGGATTGCAGAGTCGCTACCGATGTACTGCAGTGCTGTCTATAGGATGATTTTATAAATTAAGTAAATAAAAAAGACTGATATTAGCAAATCAATTCGTATCTTCAAATTAAGGAAGGAACCGTTAAAAAAATTGGCTATGGGAAAGATGTTTAAGAGTTTAATCAAGGCATGTCTACCAATATTGTTGGCACTTCGTTTAGTTGGCTTATTATTTTAGAAAATAGTATAATGTTGGATAAAAGCACCTTGATTATTAATAAGGTGTCTAAAGTTTACTAGCCAACAGAATCATATATGATATCAAGCAGGTAGTAACGTCTAGAAATGATTTTACCTCCTCCATGCTTGTAGCAGATATAAGGAAAACGAAGTACATTGCTGTAGCCGACAGCGTATCCAACACATGACAAAATAAATTCAAACCAGTTGCCCCAATAAATTTGATTTTGATCGTTTTTAACATCTTCTATTTCACTGGATAAAGCATCATCTAACTCTTTCTTTTCAGATTTTTCAGGTTGTTTTTCCGGATCTAAGGCATGATAGGTTATTATACAGGAAAAATCGAAGCAAGAAAAATTACGAAAGCACATTAAGCATCGAAAAGCAATTTACTCTTCAATCCGATCACACTCAGTATAAAGTAGAAATGATGTTGAAAATTTTTCTACGATTAATAAATATAAAAATTAGCCTTACCTTGGACAGGACCTTCGACTGGTCGCATCTCCATCTTGCTAACTACGTTCTCAGCTTTATTTACCAAATTTGAATTTTAAGAACTTTATATATTCAACAGATGTCAAGAANATGATGAATTGCTTATATCGATGTCTTTATGCAGTAAAACTTGATAGAGAGTGCATCATTATGATAAAAGATTAATTTTACAAATGCGTTAGGCAGTCTCTTCAATAGCAAATTACTAAGTCAAGGCTTACCTTTAGCATATTACAGTATCGACTAATTAGCATCTTCCTTGTTTTTTTCAATAGTGGCCATCTTTATTTGCAACCTATTATCTTACTCCTAATATAATATTCAAAAGAGCATGAATCTATAGCCAGACAAATTCACAGTTAATTATTCACGCACAAATAAATCTTTCGAGGTAAAATCAATAGCAGTACTCTATTGTTCCGTTGGTTCATTAATCAATTTTATATTAATCTTTTATGTACCGGCATTAATGTCATCATAAAATTATAGTAAAGATGATATTTTAGCTAACTGCTCAAACAAAGTCATTGAATTCATTTTCCTACTGTAGCTTGGATGAATGTGTATGTCGATTAATTCTTGATTTTGTCAGATGCATCAATAAAGTCAATTTTAGCAGATACAGTAACAACTTGCAATCGATCAACAAAGTTTGCCTATACTTTTATTTATTAGTCCAAGAAATCGATGCTAACGTTTAAATAACATAAGCCACTTGTTGCATCACCACTTATAATTATTATATATCGTAGCTACATTTCAGATAGTTGTAACCACTAGAACGATGATAAAATTCCATTTGCGTAGATTAAATCTATCATAAAGTTAATGTGAAGATCATAAATTTTCGAACAGTATTAATCCGACGTTATCTAACATTTTATACCCTTATTTTGAATAAAATATTGAATGATCTCAATCTTAATGCTTGATAGACATCCAATAAGATTTCATAAGTGTCTACCTCTAAATTAAATGCAAATTAATTAGTATAATTCAGTGTTAATTTAATTTTATAGTAAGAATACTAGTAGTAATTAGTCAAAGTTGGTTGCGGCAAATGGCTATTAACTCATGAAAGCAATGGACAACTTATTACGGACTGATTAAATTAACAATCTTTACCATAGATTTTAAGGAATCCGAATCATTCCTTCCTTAGCCTAAAGCCATCGTAAAGTTGGAGTGACAATAAAGGGTTTCCCAGCCGTTCTACATGTACTTATTTGTTCCATTTCCCATACTACTTTCATTTGGATAAAAAAATAGATGACTTTCGTTTCTGTCCCGGATTGACGGATCCCCACTTTACTACCGTACAAAAAATCGATCTTGTTGACGAGATTAGACAAATTTAATTTACTTCAAGAATGAAAATGAAATACTTGGAAATGACCCTCTTTGTTATAAGTTCCTTAGGTAGCCCTAGCATATCAATCTAGTTATCAGGATTAGACAATCTTAATTTATTTCATAAATAAGAAATGCTTAGGAGTGACAGTGTTTGATGTTGGTCTATTGGCTTACCTTGCACTATCAATCTGGTTGACGGAATTAGACAATTTTGATTTATTTTATGAATAAGAAATGCTTAGGAATGACGCTGTTGGATATTAGCCCTTTAGCTTACTATGCAATATCAGTCTTGTTGACGGAATTAGACAATTTTAATTTATTTCATGAATAAGAAATTGCTTAAGAATGACGCTATTTGATATTAGTCCCTTAGTTTACTATGCATTATCAACCTTGTTAACGGGATTTGACAATTTTAATTTGTTTCATGAATAAAAAATGATTAGGAATAATACTGCTTAATATTAGTCTCCTAGCTCGCCCTGCAATATTTTGATGATTTATTTGGCTGGATTGGATATTCTTAATTTATTTCATGAATAATCAATGCTTAGGAATGGTACTGTTGATGTTTGTCCCTTAGCTTACCATGTAGCATCAATCTTGTTTGACGGGATAAGACAATTTTTAATTTATTTTACTGCCGCGGTGTGAAAGACAACCGTTAAGAAATAAGAATAAATACACTATATTGATTATGATACAGTATGGTTAATAACTTGTTGTTAGATTACGAGTATATGTAATACTAATTCAATTTATTGTTAAAACAAGTCAATTAGTTACATATCTAATTTGTAAGAGAGCTCAAAGGTCAGATAGTGTTCAGACCATGACTGCCTCATGCTATAAGCGTGCTCTAACGTATTATGAAATAGAGCATAAAGTAATACAAATTTAGGTCTGAGAATACATGATAGCCGATATCGTTTTTTAGTATTCATTTCAAAGTATCGAATCAGCAACTGCTCCAGAATATCGATAGAAGGTATAAATGTAGGTTACTTTTACTATAAAGTGTTTATTATTTTATCGCTTTCGCGCAAGGAGAAGGTCTATACCGTTTGTATCGTGAAACTTAAGGAAAAAGTTCATAGTTATCTCGGGAAATTAAACTTGATAAGTAGTTCGAGATAGAAGAAGACCCGAAAATATCTCTGGTGTATTTATGTCACAAGAATACATATAAATGCGTATTGGTGGCCTTCATGCATAAAATGTTTACAAACGACACTGTTTGATGTTGGTCCCATATCTTGCCCTATAGTTTCAATCTTGCTAGCGGAATAAGACAATATTAGTTTATTTCATGAATAAAAAATTGCTTAGGAATGACCTTGTTTGATGTTAGTCTCCTAACTTTCCATGTGATATCAATCTAGTTGACGAGATTAGACAATTTCAATATACTTCATAAATAAACAATAATTAGGATACTGTTAGATGTTAATCCCTTGATGGGCCCTGTATTATCAATCTTGTTGACGGCATTGAACAGTCTTAATTTAATTCATGAATAAGAAATGCTTTGGAATGACTCTGTTTGATATTAGTCCTTTAGTTTACTATGTAATATCAATCTTGTTGACGGGATTAGACAGTTTTGATTTAGTCCATGAATAAGAAATGCTAAAGAGTGACACTGGTCAATATTAGTTATTGGCGTACTATATGAAATCAATCTTGTTGACAGAATTAGACAATTTTAATTTATTTCACGAGTAAAAAATTACATAAGGATAATACTGGTTGATATTAGTTAGAGCCGTAGTTTGATTCAGGAACCAATTACTTTTTAAAATAATGGCTCATTCTTGAATCCTAACCTAGTTTGATGCTACTGGAAGAAATAGCAAAATATCTTATTTACTCCACTAGGTTTATCTGGATTTAGTTAATAATTTCATATCTGATATGATAATTAGCTTTATTTGTAGGATTATGTACCAATTTAAGAAAACGTTTTTTTAGAAATGTCGATTACTGTAATTATTGGATGGTCTATTTATACTATACTTTCGCAAGGAAATATAACGCGTCAATATTTTGGTTCATACTCTCGCGTGGTAGCCTTTAAAGTTGAATAGTTATAAGTTAGAACTGGCCTAAAAACTCCATCTAGCTTTACGGATTTCTCATAATACACATCGCATTAATTAAGTATAATATTTTAAATCAGTAATAAGTTCTCAATGTATTCCATGCACAAGCGCAGGTCATTATTTCGTAGTCTGACAGGGCATTATGTTCACAAACAGCGTTATCGTTATATAACGGTTAATTTCATGGCAACCACAAGATATTGCGGCGTCTAACAGCGAAACAACTATAAACTTCTTTAATTTATGCATCCATAGAAAATCTACTATATAAATATGAGCTTGAGACATTTGGATTTTTTCCTTTATTAATAGATGAAAACGTATTTTAAAAAATAAATAAGATAAAATGACTTGGTAGGAGGCACAGGTTCATATTGATTGAAATATAATTAAAAAAAATAGCAATAGATGATAATAAATTGAAACTCATAATGAATTAAAATAACATTTTACTACACTACATGCTCACTTCAGCATCCAATCTTCTACGTGCCTCAAAATAATAACAATATACTAAAATTACAGAAGCGTAATAGTAATTATATGTCTCTCTTAATTTTCCCCTACACATGCTCCTTCACAGCCTACAAATAGGATCATCCATTAGAGTAATCGACGCGTAGATAATGCTACAAAATCAGCCCTATCAGATTTTAATCTTAGCTGAAATTATGTAAAACAAGTACATTCTTTTGATGATCCACAAAGTAATTTAGTAGCCTAAAATAACGCTATCTACTTAAATTACAGAGTAAAAATGAGTTACTTAATCTAGATTGGCCTTGAAGCCTGGAAGAATGAAATTATACTTTTCTTACTAAGGAAAATTAATTATTGAAAATAATTTTATAAAGTGGACGAATATTAAGGAATGCATAAAATATAATTTTCAACTGAAAGTTGAATTTCTAGTTATGAAGCATTCTTCTTATTACGATCCATTGCAATGGCAAACGTAAGCTCAATGGCATTTTGGAGTTTTATCTCTCCCTTAAATTTAATAGACCACATTAACAAATCTTTTGATTTGATTAAGATAGTCGATCTAATTTGTATTCGAGATCAGAGCAAATCGGAATAATTGGGAGATTCTCTTATATCTTGATAGTCAAAATGGATACAGTTGTTTAATGGAAATAAATGAAAAGGCTAAGAAAAGCGTCCAAGCAAAGGTTTTAGTATACTAGCAAACCAATATTGTTAGCATTCTACATGCCAAAGTTGAGGCTCAGAATTGCTATAATGATTGATGATTATGGCTATCTTATGTGCCTTATCGAATATTGCCACTGCAAGCTCTATCCTCTCTTACTATTAACCATCTTAAACCTAAAGATAGACTGCTAATGTTGTTTTATTCCTATATAGATTAATATGGCTTATTCAACTGGAATAGCTTGGACGATAAAAAATCAATATATTCTTCAAGCTAAACTGAAGCATGGCTGATTTTATCCTTTGAATTTACATAATCCTTATAGTAAATTAGCATATGGCTTTTGACCCATCCCATATAAGAATAAAATCATACGATTTGATGTATTCAATTGAATTGAAGAGCTAATTGCTTAGAATTATTTATTTTATTAAATTAATTTTTAAAACAAACTAGCAGTGATTGTTTTTTGCAATCCCGTAGCGATAAAGCTACGGTGAAGAAAATACAAAATGTATTGCAATCATGATTGCTGTGGCTACCGTTGCAAAATATGAGGCAGTATCCAACAGTTGTATTTCATATGTGAAATGAATCACTTGCAGTTATTAAAAGCCATCTTTTGACAGGATAAAGTGGATGAGAGGCTCAAATTTTAGCTAGATTGCTACTGCTAAGTATCTTCTAAATCTTCTTGACTTGATTTAATTGAAATGAACATGCTGAGAAAGAACAATCTTGAATTATGCGCGACGTCAGATTCTGTGGATAAATAAAGTTATCTGCAGGCAAACTATCACGGATAGCATTAAAAATTAATCAACTTGAACTATTTAAGCAAATATAAGCTATCATTGTATTGATATTCGTTAATCGAACAAGCAGAATAGAGTTGATTTCATGTAAAATCGATCCTTAGAAATAAAAGGACGGAGGTTGCAAAGTTAAGCTATGTTTATACAAATATACTTCAGAATATTATGCAATTAGAATTAGCTTTAAAAGCTAAAATAATTGATTTCCTGGAATGCCATCACAGGTGGTAAAATCACTAATCCTTTCGTTAAAGTTTATTTATACCGATATGATTTAGGACACCTATCCAATAAATAGACAAAGCTTTATTTCAAGGAACAATTAAATTTGAGATTGAAAAGGGTTAGATATTTTTATAAAAGTTCCACCTTTCCCTTATTATTCGAATTAAATACTATGCAAACGGAATGCATTTTTTGTAAACACGTGAAATATAGGCTTATACAGTATTAATTACTGGTATACTACGCAAATGGGAGATACTTTAAAATCCGATCTGTGCTCTTGCAGATATCATGCTGAGGAAGAAAATTCCTTTTTTCAATAATGTCTAGTAGAAAGTCAAGATCTTCAAGTCGTTCTTCTATAGATGAGCTTATACAATTCCAATCAGATACTGAGCATATGAAATATATTTGTGTAAGCGCGTGAAATCTAGGTTTCAAACAAATATTATTTACTTTAATTAAAAATGCGATATAGTGAAAACCCAATTTGTGCTCTTACAGATCTTATAGCATGAAAAGAAATTTCTTTTTTAATATCCAGTAGAAAGTCAAGAAATACAACTTGTTTTTCTAGCAATGAGTTCATATAATTTTTAAGCAGATATCAAGCGAATGAAATATGTTTGTGCAAGCATGAGAAATCTAGTTTATACAATAATAATTACGCTACGTAATTATTAGAGGTGATGTAAAATCCGATTTGGGCTATTGCAGATATCATACTAAGAACATAAATTTTCATTTTCAATAACTTGTAGAAGTCAAGATCTATAAGTCACTTTGAAGTAGCAAGCTTATTAAGATCGGATTGCAATTTTTAACAGAATTGAAATAATGTAGCTTTTCATCTCTACTCTAATTCCTAAAGTTGTACAATGCCTACGTCTTATTCTGTACAGTTATTAGAATCTACAGTTTACTATATAAATTTATAGCTTTTTTCAGTATATCTGTAGAAAGAAGTAGCAATTACAATCAGATGTCAAAGGTTATTTGATTGCCTTGATAGAATATTTTATTCCACAATATAGCACTGCAAGATTAATTTTCATGAAAAATTGTAATATCCTATATACCAGAGTAATACAAATAAGCAAATTGATTTGACGCTCACGTTAGAATAAAATTTCAAACTGTAAATTAATTCTTAAAGTTTAGAGAGAAATAAAATGAAGAGTACAATTTATAATATCACTTTGCTATTACTGTTGTAATGTGTTAATTAAGTAGGCTAGATTGCGACTGAAAATAGGAAATATCCTTTATGTAAGAAAAGTATAGAAATTTAAGAATATACTTGTTGGACTATAGTATCATTAAATTATGATCCTATTGGACTACTGTAAGTATAATGCACTGACTACGACAGAGTTTTCCATCGCTCACTATATTGTAGAAACATAGTTGCATTCCATTTTAGAAGGCTCCGTTAGGATCTTTGTTAAAATAACGCTATCCACTTGCTTACGTTTGGTTTTATGGGTTGATCGAGGCGAAAAGGAAGTTGCAAATTTCTATATGATAAATAAAAAAATGTCAAAAAAATAAATTGAACTAAAGTACAGAATAAAGCAATGTAAGCTGTAGTTGATTCATTGATAAATTTATAAGCCTTCAAATCTTACAACCACTACAGAATAGCTGCTTAAATGCTTAACCTGTTTAAGGCTGCCTTCAGCGGTATAAAGTTGATAAATGGCTCCTAGAGGAATCCAAATTAAAACTAATAATGTCAAGAGGATGCCAATTCCAACTCCCCAAGGTTCAACAGGTTTCCCAAGATATTCCATTGGTTCAGTTTTAGCCAAACTGACCACAAAATTAAACTAAAGAATTTACAAATTAGATTTGCAATGAAACCCGGATCATATCCAGGTTTAAATTAATCATAACTGCTTATAGCTTAAAGATACGAAATGCAAAATCGCTAAGCTAAGTCTTAAGAGTTATGAGCTTATTTCACAGTAGATGTGCTTAGGCTTATTGAACTATTTTGGCCAAGGTGCATTCAATACGACAATATAATACTTACACCTGCACCGATTGGACAGACGTATTTCCATGTCAAGATCCAATAGCTATTTGGTCGAGATCCGGTCATGTCTTTGACGTTTTGACCTAATCGATCAGCGCCTGAAATGGATACAACATTCAATAAGCTATAAATATCTGTTCCTAGACTACATAAATGAAATGCTAATTTTGAGGCAAAAATATACATGATTTTATCTTCTTTAGGCTCTCTATATTTACTGTAAATCAGCAACAGCAACTTAATACTTTATATATTAAGGATATTAATAAAATGATTTCTATAAATTTATTAGTAATGGATGCCATTTTTCTTTGCTAATGTCATAAAATTATGCTAACTATCGCTAATAGAATTGTTAAACTTATTTTAGCATAACAAGGACGATATATCATGCACTGTAGTAAAGTGGACAATAAACTTATATGCATAATATCCATTTCAAAATTTTCAATATTTTATCAGCAGCAGTAGCTTCGATTTAATATTTCTTATATGGGATATATCGGTAAACAGATTTTAAAATAGGATTTGATGTGCAATCCAGCCTTTACTTTATATTTGCCATTTTCAATTGGGTGAGGATTAGCGCAAATTTTAAAGTAAGATTACATATGCAGCAAATTCTTTACTTTATATTTAGCATTTTCAATTGAAAGGTGATTTAGCGTACTTTTTAAAATAGCATTAAATATGCAGAAAAGCCTTTGCTTTATATTCAGCATTTTCTATTTGTTTCGGATTTGGTGTACTTTTTAAAATACGATTACATGTGCAATAAAGCCTTTACTTTATATGTAGCATTTGCTATTTCCTTCAGATTTAGTACGCTTTTCAAAATGCGATTCCATATGCAATAAGTCTGTACTTTATGTTTTAGCATTTTCTATTTGGTCAGGATTTAGTCCACTCTTACCGTATACAAATGAAACTGCCAAGACCTCAAATAAGGTCAAACCAAGTACAATTGGACCAGCATTATTGGTATCTACAACGATAAGCCAAAAGAGACCAGACTAGAAATAAAAATGAAGGATCTAAAATTATATGATTATAATCATATCCACTTTGACTATGATCACACTTATAGAATCAGTCTCAAATTACATATGTGGTGGTTTATAAACCTCTCAAATCTAGCGGCTTTATAATGCTTTTGAAACAGCTAAGCTACAGCTTATTTTAGTTTACCAAATAGGGCTAGTTTTAAATGATAACTTTACCCCGTAGTGTTTTACATGTGAATTATGCTAATTTTAGTTAAAGAAATATACGAACAGAAACGTAGACAATGTAGACCATGATCTATTCATGTTAACTTACCCTAGTAGTAAATATTAAACCTATTGTAAAAAGACCTGCACAAATAAAAAATGTCACCATGGGCTTTCTATTCTCCCACCTCCCTTTCGAAAATCGAACTGCTGTGGTAATTAATGTCTCTATCATACCATACTAGTATTGATAATAGGAGAATAAAATAGATTTAAGTCAATTCCTACATAACTCTCTCCATCATCTAATTATCAAGGTTGTGATTTAAGTTATAAGAATAAGAATTTTCCACATACGATGCTGTCCATTCCTAATAGAAGTAACATAAAGAAAAAGGCTATGGCCCAAAAGTGTGGACTTGGTAATTTTGCAATAGCTTCTGGATAGGCAATAAAGGCAATTACGATCTCTGTGCCAACAGGAAGTGAAATTCAATTAATCAGAAATCGGTAAGATCTCTAAGCAAATTTCAATCGTAATGATCAGCAGCTCTACAATTTTTCTAGCTGTAATGAGTATTAATGTAGCCATAGAACAGACAAAAAGCACAAGCTATAACAATGAAAGGTAGAAGGAAATACTTGTGATGTAACGGGTAAGATATCTAAATTACTACAGAGTAAAGTACAGGATTCTTTATCGTAGGTAAAAATCCTTTTACTGGTGATAACTTAGTATGGCTAAACATGTTTATTCTAATACGATATTATCCCTGATTGAAATCCTTGGTCGCTCCGTAACAGAAAATCCTAATCATTCATCAACTTATTAATTGAATGGATTTGAGGATTTTACAACGTTTTCATACCTTCGCTAATCAAATCATCAATAGGTTTACCAGTAATACGAGACAAATAGCCGAGAACAGCAAAGCACACAAGACCAGCGGTTATACTTGTAAAACTTGTAATGGTGCAAATGTAAGCACTATCTCTATAAAATCAAACAGTAGGTTGTATTCAAATCCAACAATTTTGTCAAACCGATTTCCTATTATGACCTAAGGGCTCATGAATACTGTAAACGAAATAAAAGAAATTACCTGCCACATTTGTTATCACGGCGGTTATAACTTCCTAATGTTATAATTGCACCAAATCCAATTCCAATTGCTGAAAGTACCTGCCCTAAAGCATCAGCCCAAGGCTAATGCAAACAACGTTTCAATTCAATTTATTCACTTTCATCTTACAGTATTTCCGTTTGCATTCTATCATATTTTTATGTGCAAATAAATAAGACATTTTTTTGGTTTGCTATAACATGAACTTACATCTAGCGTTCCCAGCTTACTAAAATCCGGCACTAGAAATTGAATAATGCCTTGAGTAGCACCCGGTAGTGTAACCGCTCTTATTAATAAGGAGAATAACATAACATAAGGAGCTGTGGCGGTGAAGTAAACCACCTAGAATGAAGAAAGGGATACGTAAATTGAATGAGAACAAGGTCCAATTACTGTATAATCTCTTCTTTTAGTTTATTTCTACACAAACTATATCCTTGATTAGAATATTCAACCTTTCCGGAAGATTCGATACCCATGCACATTGCACAGTAGGTAATTGTCCAGGCGATCAAAAGTGTGATTACCAAGTGTGGCACTAAATCATAATACAAAGCTCCACCTTCGTCGATCCTTAGAGTTTCTAGACTAAAATTTAAAATATGTCATTTGATTTATAGCTGAAAGATACAAAATAAATCGTATCGACTCCACGTTGACATAAGATGATTGCACATAGTGTATATTATGATAGATTAAAAATCAGTAAAGGATATTGTAAAAAATATTTAATATAGTATAACCAGGCTAACAAGATATGAAATTAAAATTAGAGACATTAAGCATGGATCTCCTATAATTGGTAAATAATATAAATCTACTTGTATTATATGAAAAGCCGCTATGTACTATCACAGAGACAATTAGGACAGAATTTGTGGTGAGCAATTAGGGTAATTACGGCAATGCGAAAAGGAAACTTGTGCGACTAATATATAATTATTTATTGATTTTAGAAGACATTATAACATCAGTGACATTGATACACTGAGAAAAATCGATTAATCTGTCAATATATAAGCATACGCGTATGAAAGACTTAGAATAAATGACGATCAAAAATTAAGCAATTAAGAATTTATAAAGGTTTATAAATCAAAGTATTATCTACAGCTTATTACGGCAATGAAATGTTATTTGCGGTATCTTAGATTGGAATGCTAATAGTCGGTAGATTTTCGATGTTTTTTGAAGGAAGTTTACGAAAAATCATAGCTAGAGAGAATTTCCTTACTCCCGGTGCAACGAAATTAAATATTCAGTAATTTGTGACGATTAACTTACTCTAAGAACTCAACGGAAGCCGCTTTTCCGCTAACGTTTCCAAATACATCCCCAGTAACATAGCATTCGTGAGTATTCCAGGTATTATTACACGATGCCCAGGGCAATTGAGGAAAGAAACTGGCGTAAAAGTAAAAGAGTGACCATGCCAAGACGATATGAAAGTAAACCACATTTAAAATGCAAGAAACTATCATGGCAATACCCAAGCCTAAATATTATTTTAAGTATGTGGACAGGCATTAATATCAAATCAGATATTTCCGCAATATTATAAGTGAAAACAAATAGGCCTCTGCGCTTAATTGAATAACTATAGTTAATATCCGGTAATGTAAGCCTATTGTTCAAGAATAGCATCTGCCATTTTAATAATTTAGCAGCAAGATCTTAATTTCAACACTTTACTTAGATTGCTTATAGTAAGAAATCCAATCGAAATTTTTTTTGTATTTTTTAACCGCTAACATTACTATGTAAGAAATGAATATTTATCGTACCTTTAAGAACAGGACAGACATGTTTCCATAGTGTGCCAGGACCCATTCTCATATATTGGCCAAGAGCTAACTCCATATGTAACGTCGGTACTCCAACCAACAATACAGAAACAAAATAAGGAATGAGAAAAGCGCCTAAAAGGTCCAATTACAATCAAATTAAGATGTTGTAAGTGAAGGTATAAAAGCTATACGATTTATAATATTTTCAAGCCATCATTTAAATATTCAAAACAGTAATATTGGTGCATTAATTCATTCGGTCTTTTATATTTTAATCGCCTATCTTCCATTTGTATGTCAGATCTTTTAACCTTTCTACACTAAAATTTAGCCGGTAAGAATCTGCTTAGACGTTTGCTCGCTATAAATTGTATAATATCGTAGGAAATCGTAAAATTGTCCACTAATTCTAATAATCTGTAAATACGAGTATTTGTAAGTGCCTTGTTTGTTATTATACGAGTATTACTGATTGAATTGAAACCAGGAAATATCTAAATTGGTATAAATTTCAGCGAGAAGAAATAAGTAATCAAGCAATCAACCTCAACTAACCTCCACCATGCTTATAGCAGATGTACGGAAACCTCAAGACATTACTATAGCCGACAGCGTAACCAATGCAAGACAGAAGGAATTCCATCCAGTTGCCCCAATAAATTTCATTTTGATCGTCTTTCATTTCTTGGTCAATTTCTTCCTCTTCCTCTATACTTTCATCTTTATCTTCCTCGTCTAATATTTTTTTTTCTTTTTCGCTAACTTGTCTTGGCTCTTTCTTGCCATTTTCAACGTCAGCTGTCAAGTATTGTTATAAGAAGAAGAAAAGAATTACATTTCATTTCTTATTTTCTTCATAAGATCATTTATAAAAGCTAGATTTTATCAACGTCAGCATCACTCTAAGCTTAATATGGAATAGAGAGGGGAATGTTGATTTTTACTCAACAGATGATTAATGAATTAATAACATCTATTGAATATCAAGTGCATCCCAAGCTCACTGTTGCTATGCGAAATTTCATGAAACATCTGTGATTAATGTGATTAATCAACAAAATGGTCAAATGTATTACACTATGTTGCTGCACGACTAATGGAATATCACTTGAAACATTTCTAGATCAGTGAAAAATATAAAAACTTACGAATAAATCAATGAACATTAATATAATATAATCCGACAAAAATATTGGGATCAATCTCATGTTTTGCCTTATTAATAAGGGTATTCGTCACTGATTTTATAGTGACAAAGAAGAGATGATGTAAAGCTAATTTACGCTATGATTATTCGAAAATTAATAGATATTCCCTAATAGATAATCAGATTTATTAAGAAGATACCATAGTTAAATATTCAATATAATCTAGTCCGTAGGGACTATGATTGCAGCGTTTAGTCCTCTATAGAGCAGAGTAATTCATATTTTCTGCTCTGTTTAGAGCAATTTTCTAAAGCAAAATGTAATTTAACCACACTTGTCATTTATATCGTGTTTCTATTCTGCCTTCAAGACTTTTTTCTCGATGATATTAGATATTTAAGAGTTTAATAGTACGATCATATACGTGTCTTAGCATAAGTTGTTAGACATCAAACATGATAAAGATTTTCATGCTAACTGCACTGCTAAAATATACAGTAGTAGACCGGTACAGAATGCTAGAAAATAAAGATATCGTGTCTGCTTAAAGTTGATTACTACTAAGAAATTACTTGGCTAGTGAACTATTACAGGGCAATTCTTAAGTAGTAAAAAACAAATTATATGGCCAGTTGGGAGCTATTTAAGGAATGTAAAATTTGAGGTGTTCAATCTTGATGCTTGATAAGACTTACAGCATCTTCAATTTCCATTTAGATACTTTAACTAGGAAAAATGTAACTAAAACTAAGGTGCAACTACGTTCAGCAGTTTAAATCGGTCAATAAAAGCCATCCTTCCTTGGATATCGACAAATTTATTCTGGGTTTTCAAAGGCAAATTATATTTTATACGTAATTAAAAGATTTGTTGAGACATTGTAGAAGTTTAACAATTGAAATTTTAAATGGAAATGAAAAAAATATTCAATTTTATATACTGGTATACTAAAGAAATGACTAGGATACACTTTTCGTCAAATGATGCTACATTTAACGTAATAAGGTAAGCAATAAATTATTTTATACTATTAACTCGATGAAACTTTCCTTTTACAAGACACTTTCAGCATTATAAGCCTTTTACGAGAAAAACTTCTTTACTTAAATTTTATAGAAATATGTTAATATCAATCTGATTGACACATTCAACTACGTTGTCGAATAAATAATTTCTCACTTTAAACTTGTTCGACGCCGTATAAACAGGAGGAAACAATAAAGCTGTAATCATGCAGTGCTAACTATTGGGATGATCAACTGATGATATTATTCTTCATTCAGTACGATATCATTATACTCTCACGACTGAATTTGGTACTAATAACTATCGAGCGTTATTTAAAATCTATATAACAGTAAAATTATTTTCGATATTGTAATCGAATACTTGCTTCATACTACGTAAACACTTGGCGTTATACCTTTTGAGCCACATAAATATAATATCACAATATTAATGTAATTTCATCAGACGATATTGCAATATATATCGATGTTATATGTTCAAATCTAGGCTAAATAGAACCCTGATCTACCCCATCTGCAAATTACTATGGAGAAAAATCAATCAATCATTTTCTAGGTCTTGAAATTTCGTGATCAAACGCTTCATTAGTGGCATGAAAATAGTGGGAAGTAAATTGCAATAGTATCGTGCAGTTAGTGATAATGATTATTTAAACGATTTCAATTTGATACGATCAAACGGAAGGTAAATAGAATTTCTTTCAGACGAATTGATTGCTAATTTAAGGTCAAGATAAAGAATCATTTTCTGTTGATATCATGATCAAAGAGTTGGCCTCAATATCACTGAAACAGTAATCGTAGTTAATCTCTATTTTAAAATGATTAGGATACTATTATCCTTAGAGAAAGATCGAAATGATAATTTAAAGCAATTGGATGAATAATGAAAGCAAAAAAAGTTTTTCCTGACAATAAACGTAGCGTTATCATAGCCATCTCCAAAGTCAAAAAAAACCAAGAATGAAAAGATCGAATTACCCTTACCTCTTCCTTCGGTTGAAATCTCTTGATTGTATTGAGCTACGGCATAGCTTTTAGATTTCATTTTCTTCAATTCTTGACTACAACATTTAATTAGACGATAATTGTTAAGAAACAAACACTATTTGATGTTGGATGAATTTGAATTGATGCCGCTCTTAATTGAATATTATCCAATACGTAAAGTTAAGCAGTAATCAGCATTGAAATCTGCCCATCCTTTAAAAATTTTTTTAATATAGCGCTTATTTGAAACTTTTTTACCTAGTAAAAACTTACCTGTTCAGTTGATTTTTTTTTTCAAGTATGGCGATGATTTCGCCACTGCCTGTCGTAATGGCCTTGTCTTTTGCAAGAAAATATTTTGGCTAGGTTACTGCTTGGATCTCTTCCCCAATTCCTGGCTAGCAAATACACGTTGCAACCTAGGATAAGATCCTAAAGGCCAAATCAAGGATAAAGTAGTGGAAAAAATTAATTATAATTACAACTTATTAATTAACTCCTAAAGGCAGATTGCTAAGCACAGCCTGCAGCAGTGTTAAGCTAATAAATACTATTGGGCCAAGTATTGTTCTCTTGAAGATGCTATTCAATCTGCTTAAATATAGCTATCAATCACTTTACTAGTTATATTAGGGATATTATACTAATTTGTAAAGGTTGAATCTATTCTTCATCGACTCTCTGTTACAGTTATTGCGATAAATTCAATACATGAGTAAATAACTCGGTCAATGTAGGCGTGGGCATTATTATACATTGGCTCCATGTTCAATAAACAGCATAAAAGGTACTTGGTAATGACAATGAGTAGAGTGGTTTAAACAAGGTTCTGATATAAGTTTATACTTATTTATCTTATTATATTAAGCTGATGGCCATAAAACCATGATAGCCTTAAGCTAAAAGATGCATGATTTATGGAGTGAAATGAAGGAAGCAAGTGATGTTGGCTATAGCACAACAGAACTATTGTTGAATTCTTGACATCGATCGTTTTTAAATTGTATTCTATTGCATCTGAGTAATGTTTAAATGGGACTGCTTTATTTGCTTTGATTATTTGTGATTTGATTTGCCATTCCCTTTAATATGGTTGATCTACAGGCGATCTAAAGTGCCGATATCGATAGATTGAATGTACTTTGATCTGTAAACTGTTTTCAATTTAACATTATACTTGCTTGGCTGCACCTTAAGCAAGCGTCGATGTGGATAATCAATAGGCAATAAGCATAATTCTATAGTATAAATAATTATAAGTCATATCTGAAGCTCTTTTATTGGCAGCAATGACAATCAATATTGCTGGTACATAAAATTTAGATAAATTAGCATTAAGAAAATAGGTAATGTAGAATAAATATTTAAAACTTTGCATACACAAGCGATCCTTAGACACAATATCATGATTGGTATAGAATTGACCACAGTACTAAGGACATTGTACCGCACTGTCGATATCTTCCAGTACCTGCTAATCTTAACTTGGTATGTCCATCACCGTGCAATAGTTATCATAATGCATTTTGGACCATTAACTAATCTTAATATAGCATTTTATAGCATTTCATCCGTGAATGCATTATTGAAAAGCAGTATTCTAGAAGCATAGCTGTGAATATAGTAGTGTCTGGCTATTACCGGGATATATATAATGTCGAATGGTAATACTATCTGTTAATTATTAATAAATGGGTACATTATCGTAAACCGTCAGCAAAGCGACGTGAGTTTGTACTAGTGTTGCTGTAAATTGAATCGAACCGATTGAACCAGTTCAAAAATGGTAAAATAGGTTCGGTTCAGGTTTGATTGATGTCAAAGCGGTTCAGATTCAGGTTCTTATATAGATCATAACGGTTTTGAGCCGAACCGAACCTTTCTCAGGTCTAGTCGCAGCCTATCCGCTAGTTTAAGAGTCAAATAGTTTGGGCTGTTGCGGTAAAAAAGATGTTTTATCATAGGCTGCAACACTAAAACACTAATACTGGACTAATTCCACTTTTATCGGCCATAACACTAAATACTAATATTGGACTGGACTAATTCCACTTTCACAGGCCGCAACACCAAACACTAATACTTGACTAATTCCACTTTCATAGGACATAACATTAAACATTAATTCTAGACTAATTGCACTTTCATAGGCCACAACACTAAGGATGAATATTGGACCAATTCTATTTTCATAGGCCACAACACTAAACGCTAACATTGGGCTAATTCCACTTTCATAGGCCGCAACTTTAAGTACTAATTCCACTTTCATAGGCCGCTACACTAAACGCGAATACTGGACTAATTCCACTTTTAAAGGCCACAACACTAAACACTAATATTGAAGTGATTCCACTGGTGAATATCTGGACTACTGGGTGATTCTACTGTCGAAGAGGAGAGAAAGTCAAAGTAGAGCAACTACACTACATACTAGAGTTTTGCAGTTTTACGCCAGCTTTGATGGTATGCGATGACGATCATCGACAAATTCCTGCCTCTTCTTGCTACCAATA